AAATTATATAAAAGAAGTGAACTTACTGTCTGTAACTCATGTTTAATGAAAATACAAGGACTTCCAGGCACTAGGGAGATTTTTAGTCTAGGTGTAGGGATGTGCAATTGTTGATACCTTTAAAATACTCTAGAAAATGTACCCTTAAAACCTTTAAATTCTTTCCAGTGCCATTCTTCTCAACAAAAGCTTATTTTAGAAAGCATACAATGAGTGGAAGAAGATAGAATACTAGTGAACAGCATGCTTTGCACTACTTTTCAATAAAATTTTATCTCAATTAAGGTGTCAGTTGGAAATGTTGGAAAGAGGAGAATGGGGGGAGATTTTTAGGAAGATTTTTCAGAAATCTGAGTACTTCTTTATGAAAGTAAGTTATTACCACACTTCTCATTTGGAAATATGCAGTTACTTTTTTTTTTCATTTTTTTTAAGATTTATTTATTCATGCATATAAGAACAGGGGTACAGGCCAGTTGTGCAGGAGGTTGAAAGGATTTACCAGAGACAGAGAGGGGAGCAGAACAGGCAGACTGACTAAAATACACAACCGAAGGGAGCAGCAGGCAAGACAGGAGTAGTCTGCCCCACCATGGGGGTATCTCCCCGGCTGTCCAGGATCAAACCCATGCTGCAGAGGCTGTGGACAGTTTCACAGCACTGCGCTCAACTGCCTGCACCTCCAGAGAGGCCCATGTGCAGTTACTTTTTATTAGGTACTTTTGTCTCTATCCTTGCCCTCTTCCAATATCTCCAATTACTCTAATTCACAGAAAATATTGCAAAATTAATATAACTTATTTACACAGTTAACATGACTTTAATTATATATGAATAAATTGTGTATGAACATATAGTCCTTCTAGATTTAGAATAGTTGGAAATTATATGAGGGCAAGCAAACTTATATGTGTAATTAATAATTATGTTAAAAATTTAATTATAGTGAAAGATAGATATGTATGCTTACTCCTGCACTGATCATTCTAAGTTATAGTTATTCTCAAATTTGTACGTACTGCTTCCTGAAATTTCCACTGGCTTTTTTATACACCTGTCTGTTCACATCTTGACTCTCATTGTGAAATATTATTTTGTCTTTTATGTAACAGTGCTCAAAGCAGGAGTTCTCTCCTAGATGTTATATGGCTTTCTTGGTGAAAAAAATTAATAATTATTCTGAACAGGAGCTCATGTTTGTATAAGTTTCTCGTCCAATAGCAAATAAACTCCTTGAGTTAAGGGATTATTTCTGTTCACTGTTATAGCCCCTTGTGAACTGCACAGCATCTGTGACATAGAAGGCAATCCATAGAGGTTAAATAAATGGTTGAATGATTCAACAGTCTAGGATGATTTTCACTTGCAAAGATCTTGCAAATAACTATCTTAATTATATTAAATCGAAGAATATTGGGTAAAACACATATGAAGTTTTATGCAAGATGGTTTTGCAGTTACCTTAAATTCATATGTGGAATTGTGTAAATGAAAATATAAGATCAGAAATCATAAATTATCTCATCATAGTTGATTGTTTTAATATGAAACTTTATTCATTTCAACAGTTATGAAGCACCTCCCAGACACAATGTCTACACTGACACCTGAATGTCCATGATGAACCAGAGTTGCGTCCAAGCCACTTTCCTCCAGTCACATGTGAAAGGGAGTAAAAATGATCCAGAACCTTTGAGAGTCTAGACTGTGCGGCATGAATATATTAAACATATTTATTTGTATGCTAATAGTTTTATTTTACTAATAAAGAAACTAAGGTCATGGTGGGGTAATTTGCTCATTAGAGTTGCTGAGTAGCCAAGCTGGCAGTCTCTCTGACCCTACACATTCTCTCCTACCTCCACAAATTGAAGGCAAACAAGAAGCACAGAAGACATTGAGGAAAGAAGAGAACTTCCAGTTAAGAAAAAGTGTGATAGGCTATAATTCATATTATTATATACTTATTCCTCAAAGACCTTGATTAAGACATTTGTTTTCCCCATCTCAAAAGAGATGTAAGGAAACTTCAAAAGCTAGAGCAAGTTCACAAATGTCACATAGTCTTCAGAATTAAAATAGCAGATCCAGGACTAAAGCTAAATACCCCAATATATTGGTGAATTCAAGTCAGGATTTTAAATTTTATTTGTATTTTTGTGCTCTACAATGACAAAAAGATGAAACAAACACATAGTAAAAATACATAAAATCTATGGAAATATAACACATTACCTATTTACATCAGCAATGCAATAATATAACCTACTATGGTTTAATTAACCTTTCATGTGTATAGCCTACTTGAGCAGTTTTGTTTCTGTTATGTATGTCCTCAAATGAGTGAATTTCTAAAACAAATATTTTACTTACCTTTAGGAAAATTTTTCTTACTTTTTAGGTGTCTTTTTTTTTTTCCTGATTTGATGGTGTTATTTCCAAATTCAGAAAAATCCCTTTCATGCACTGCACGGATAATTGTTAATGAGAAACAAAAATACTCAGTTGACATGCTAGATAAAGAAAATAAGCAGTCTATGGAAATACAGCAGGCATTGGAACATCTGGTGTTCATTCTTTTGATTGCAAACAAGACAAAATCAGGGCCCTGTGCTAAGTAACTTAATAATTTGGAACTGCATTCTTACATATTAATCAAAGAAAATGCATTTTTCCTAATTATTCATGCTATAGAAATACTGTATACATTAATTATTTTGTTCATGAAAATAATATGTGTTCTGGGCCTCCCTGGTGGCACAAGGGGTTAAGCACTGCACTAAGAAGTAATCCGCAGCCTCTGCAGCAGGATTTCAATCCGCAGCCAGCCAGGGAGCTACTGCATGGTGCAGCAGAACTCTCCTGTAGCGCCCTCTGCTCCCCTCAGCAGTGTATTTCAGTCAGTCTGCTTATTCTGTTTCCCACTCTGTCTCTGGTGGGTCCTCTTACCCCCATGTCTCTGGCCTACACCCCAGCTCTTGTATGCATAAATAAATGAATCTTGAAAAAAAAAGAAAGTAATATGTGCTCTGATTCTACTTAGTAGACAGCTATTCTCTATATAACAAACAACAGGGGAAGTAATGGCTGAAGAAAAGGTCAAAATCTTTCTGATTGTTTGCTTGCTTTTTTTATTCCATTTCAAAAGGTGAAGCTAAGATTAGGACTCATTAAATTTTCAAGACTATTACGCTTATTCTAAATATGGCAGACAATCTTCTGCAATAGAATAAAACAAATTATGAAATCACTTTTATTTGTAGATTTTTGATCTATGAAATTAGATGAACCTATTAATTATCTCTCTAGAATTTTAATGTGCATTGTTCCAGGTAGCTTTGATTACTAAATAATATTGAAAAATAGAATTAATACTATGAATCTCATTTTCAACATTTTGGAAAAATATGTTCATCTGTTCTTACTGAAATGTAACAGCATACATTAAAACCCAGTGACTGCACTTGAAATAAAACTGAAGAAGAGAAGCAAAAGAAAAGTCAATATTCCTTCAGGGTTCTTTTGGGATGTGATGACTCCACAGTAAACCAGTTTTAAGGTTAAGCTATTCACAATCAAGTCTCATGCTAAAACAGCCAATTATGATGAGACATATTATGATGAGTAAGAAATGTGGAGGGAAAATGCCACATGCATGCAAGAGGAAAGATATGGGTGGACTCAGTGCTAGGGATCTTGGATCTAACAGATAAGTGAGAAAGGAAATAGGGGAGAGGGATGATAAAAAAAGGAAAATAGATATTGTCATTCCCAAGAATTTCCCATTTATAAATTTTCTTAAGCTTAGCCCTGATTGCATTACATTCCTCATAGCCTTGTGACATCTTTGTTGCGAAGGCTGTAAAGGAGGGGATTCAGCACAGGGGTAATGATGGTGTAAAAGGCTGATACCACCATGTCTTTCTCAGCTGTGTGATAGGAACTGGGAAGCATGTAGGTGTAGATGGCAGCACCAAAGAAAAGCAGCACTATAATCATGTGGGAGGATCAGGTGGCAAATGCCTTCCTGAGACCTTCGGCAGAATTCATTCTGAAGATGAGTTCCAAAATAAAGGCATATGAGCTTGAAATGACTGTGATGAGGATGAGGAACATCAAAACACAGCTTATGTACATGAACATCTTGTAGCGGGAAATGTCAGAGCAGGAGAGCTTCAACAGGGCAGGTGTCTCACAAAAGAAACTCAATATTTTCCTGGACTGACAGAAGGAGAAACTCATAGTGATGGGGCTGAGCAATGAACCATCAAATATTCCTAGAAAACAGCAACCAGACACCAGGCATTCACAGACCACCTGGTTCATCAACGGGGGGGGTAACGGAAAGGTCTGCAAATAGCAACATATCTGTCATAAGCCATAGGAGTCAAAAGGAAAAACTCAGCTCCTGCTAGGGTCAGGTAAAAGAACATTTGGATCCCACAGCCTGCAGGGGAATTGTATGATCTCCCATGACCATGCCTACAAGCATCTTGGGCACAGTAACAGATATGTACATGAGGTCCATGAGGGAGAGCTGGCTGATAAAGAAGTACATAGGGGTATGCAGATGGGTCTCCATGTGGATCAAGAGGATGAGAAAGGGGCCTCCCCAGTGGCGCAGTGGTTGAGTGCTGGGTTGCGAAGCTGGCCGCAGCCTCTGCGGCGCCGGTTCGATCCCCGGTTGCTCCCCGGCCACCAGAGGAGGGTCCCACATGGCGCACAGACCTCTCCTGCCGCCCGCTGCTCCCCTCAGCAGTGTACTTCGGTCCTTCTGCCTGCTCTGCTCCCCGCTCTGGCTCTGGTGAATTCTCTCACCCTCCCACGCTTCTGACTGTACCCAGTGCGTGTATGGACAAAAGAAACAAACAAAGAAATAAATAAATAAAACATGCCTCTCCTTTAAAAAAAAAAAAAAAAAAAGAGGATGAGAAAGGCATTCCCAGTTAGGGTCATCAAGAAAAAGATGAAAGTCACAGAATAGAAAATAACCACATGCTTGGATTTACCAAAGAGCCCCACAAGGATGATATCAGTGTTTGATGTTTGATTCTATGAAGTTTGATTCCTTATGTACATGCTCTAGGTATAGCTCTCATCTGAAAAAGAAAATAAAGTCAGTTTATTGACCTCTTATATGCACATGATTTTCTTAACATTTTTAATAAGGCATTTGCACCATTTAAGTCCTATTTATTTTTCCCAAAAATGAGAATATAAAAGGACTAAAGCCATGGGGTAGTAAGGAAGTTAAAGTAGTAAATACACATTAGATATATAATCCAATGCTTATTTAGAAAAACAGCAAAATTCTCCCCTCTATAAATTAACATTTTCACTCAGCAACTGCTTTGTCTGAATATTTTGGTTTTTAATTTCTCCAGTTGAACTGCTTCAGACATGCTTGCCACATTGCCTTTAAAGGAAAATATTAACTCAATTCTCACTACACTTTTTGGCACAGTAACAAATCCAGGACTCTGATGGAAGTCACAACTGATGCTAATTGCAGTATTACTATCTAATGTTAGTAATATAATTCAACTGAAGTTCTCTGAAAGCTTGAAATTTTATTAGACCTATGCTACGGTAATATACCTCCTTTGTTCCTCCTCCCTCACTACAGCATGCCAATTTAGTCAACTGTTGTTGTGTGATGGTGCTCCATAAGCAGAACTATCAGGGACATCAGAGAAGATAGAACCAACCTGTCTGGGGACAGCAGCTCAGGGTGCAGACATGGTACAAGGCAGGAGGTCAGCAGTGCACTGGCTAGTTCTCACAACCCCAAAGCAAAGTCTAAGCTATGTAATGCACTGACTTTCATTCAGAGAAATGATTTTTATAAGTTACAGAAATAAAGTATGCAAATGCCCTAAATGCCAAAGATTTAGTTGAAAAATTAGTAAAATAATAGATTTTTTTTCATTTTTTGGTGATATTTACCCCCAAAACTGCCTAAAATATTAGATAGTCCATGAATGAATGGAGTTAAAGAGACTGGACGGTGCAGTTGGGCTGATAGTAGACAAAGCTGCAACCCTACATTCCAGACTAAAGATCCTTCCATTCTTTCATTTCAATTTAATTAGAAAACTAGCAAAATTCTCCTCTCTATAAATCAGCAACTTTGCTCAGCAGATGCTTTGTTTTAGTACTTTAGTTTTTCATTTCTATATTCCCATTGCTTGAGTCGTGCTTGACACTTACATAATTGTCCTAAAATCATGTAAGTGTAAGTGAGTGATAAGTTCTAAATTATAGAAAGTTCAAAAGCCCCATGACTGAGTAAGGTATGTGATTGTCAGATTGTTGCACCCCAGGTTAAAGAAATATGCTGAAGAAAAACCACATATTAACTGGGACAATGGAAATTCAAGGCAAATTAAAATGTGTTATACCTAATGTTGGAGGTGGCCACCCCGCGTAGTGAGCAGAAGGGTCTTGACCCGAGTCCCTAAGGCATGTGAAAACGCATGTGTCACGGAGGAAAACCTCTGAGTGACAGGATTTGGTGTTGAGAGCCTGGAAAGTGACCTGCGTGGAGTCAGGCTTCTACATCTCCACAGTCTGAGAATAACAAAATGGAGAGACCCTGCGCAGTGAGAAGAAGGGCCTTGACCCAAGTCTTTAAGGCATGTGAAAACACATGCATCTCGGAGGAAAACCTTTGGGTGATAAGACTTGGTGTTGAAAGCCTGGAAGTGACCTGCGTACATCTCCACAGTTTGAGAATGACAAAAATAATGAGCGAACTTCCCAGGCTCTGGCTAGGGGGCAATAAGATTATGTGCATGAGAACTAACCACCTGGTGCCCTACTGTCTGAAGTAAATAGATAATAGTAAGAAAGTAGACTAATCACTCATACATGTTATCGTTATATGGTATGCTTTGATGTTACACCTGCTGCAATTAAAATAGTATATAATGAGCACTAAGACAATAAAGATTTACTGCATGCTGGACATGACAGTCCCCCATGTCTGATTTCCCTCACCGTCGTGTCCCAGGTTCAGACTCACTAGAAGTCCACAACCTAAGGCAAAAAAAAAAAGAATAATTCAGAAATCTAAAGTCAGAATTACTTCAAAGGTAGTGACAAAAACTAGGTGTCTTTACTCCTCATTTTGCACCATAAAAAAAAAAAAAATCAAAACTGAAGAGACATGCTAACAAGTCCCATTCCAGAAAAATATAAACACGCATTGTAGAGTGCATACCTTTTTTCCACCTTTTCCTCTCAACAGGTTATTCCTGAGTCACACCAACCTAGTAAAGATGCTTTAATCATTGCAAAGTGGGCAATGTGGTTTAAATTCAGGAGCCAAAGTAGGGAAGTTACATCATCAATATTTTCACATTAGGGAACTAAGGTGACTCTCAGTCCTTAAACACTTTGCAGAGTTGAACCAGCACAAAACTAACAAAACTGGGGAATGCAGTAAATATTTTCAACTTTCCTCATTTATTCAATTACTCACACTTGTCATGACCTATTCTCCGGAGTTTCTACCTTCTCTACGATTCTCTCAGAACTTAACATTATTGTTTTTCCAGTTGTCTTTTGTCAGTTATATGTAGCTCCAATTACAATATACATGGGCATGGAATTTGCTTTATGTAGTGCAGCTATCAAAAAGTAATTCCACTTTTTTCATGAGCATATTATATAAATTTCTTTAATTTTAAAGCTATATTTTCTTATTTAAAGTAATATTTTCCTATTTGATATTTATTTAGAATGATGCCTTTTTGTAAAGAAAAACATAAATTTTCAGATAGACAGTAACATGCAGAACATAAACACAAGAATAAGAACATGAACCCAGAACTGGCTTAAAATAGCATTTTCTTAAAATAGTATTTTCTTCCCCTCACACATTGCGTAACTGAACACTGTGTATGTGCCAGTGAACCATGTAATGACTGTATCAGGTACTTTACAATATAGTAAGTATATGAATACTTCAGGATGGGGATTGTACCTGCAGTTCACATTCTTTCTCTAAGCCACATGGCCAATCTAAAAGCTCATTTGAGGTTCATATGAAACGTTTGTTTCTTTATTGTGTATCTAAGTTCATTATCATGGTCCCCAAAATTCAGAGAAATCTGTATTTGAAATTGAACCAATAAGTCGACTTTATTATTCCATTTACTTTCTTATTTCCATGTGGCTGAGACATCATGGAAAAGGCCTAGTGTCAACAGTTGGAATATTATAAATAAAAAATACATTTTGCTTAAATTATAAGACAACTATACATGTCACCTTTGATTCTATGTAATCTTCAGTACCTAGAGGAGAATATTCTTCTGAGATTTTTCAGGAGCTTTCTGGGAAATCACAGAACTAGTTTAAGATCCAAAGACTACACTGTTACTAGTTTCAGGTCTTACATCTGAGTCTTTAACCCATATTGAATTTATTTTTGTGTACAGTGTGATATGGTGGTCTACATTCCTTCTTTAACTTGTGTCTACCATTTGTTAAAGGGACTTCCCCTTAACCATTTTTAACTTTCAGCTCCTTTGTTATAATTTAATTGTCCATATAAGTGTTCATTTATTTATTTCTCAATCTCTTTCATTGGTGTGTGTATGTATTTTTATCCAAATGCCATACTGTTTTGATTTCTACAGCTTTGTCTTACAGTTTATAGTTTGGGAATTCATATATCCATTCTTCTTTTATGTCAGAATAACTTTGGGTATCAAGGATATTTTGTGGCTACCTGCAAGTTTCAGTAAAGATTCCTGTATTTCCTTGAATAATGTCATTGAGATTTTGATAATGATTTCATTGAATCTGTAAATTGCTTTAAGTAAGGTATGGCTTCTTCCAGTCTGTTTTCATTTTTCCTTGTGTGTTTTTCACTCTTTTGAAAGTATCTTAAACCTATCATTGTACAGGTTGTTTACTGCCTTTGTTAAGTTTATTTCTAGATATTTCATTATTATTGGTGCAACTGCAAATGGGAACAAAATATAAGCAAACACTATCAAAATATTTTGGGGGACTTTACTCCAACAATAGGGAACTAAAGCAAAAATAAACAAATTGGACTACATAGAAAATAAACAGCTTCCACACAGCAAAATAAACTATTACAAAATTAAAAGACAACCTCTGACTTCACCCACAACATGGCAGAATAGAGAGGTTTAGATCACTCTTTCACCTAACCATAGTTAAAAAGAAAATAAAACTACATTAAAATTAGCTTGAAAATAGATCTGGAAGTTCTTTGACAGAGACTGAGGACTTTCCAGAGGTTTTTCATTGAGTTTAGTAACTTGCTGGAGGGAAAGTGAATTAAGAGGTGAAGATCATGGTCAGGGTGGCAGCACAGGTTAGATCAGGCATAGTGAATATTACAAGAAAAGCTTTTCAGAAAAGGAGTGGTACACTCAATTAGATTATATAACATAAGAATAATGAGTCGTCCAAAAGATGAAAAGTGAGAGAAGAGAGGGGAGACTCATTCAAAAATTACAGATGAGAATTTCCTGAACCTAAGAAAAGGGGTAAACATTGATGTCCAGGAAGCAGAAAGAATGAAGTGAAAGATAAAGAAAAAGCTATTAAAGACTGACAGATAATAAAAGAAAGTGACTTACAAAAGAATCCTCATCAGTTTCTTGTCATATTTCTCAGCAGTTACTTTTCAGGTCAGAAAAGAGTGGAATGAAATTTTCACAATCCTAAAGGACAAAACCCCTAGCCAATAATATTCCAGCTAACAGAATATTATTCAAATATGAAACTTTTTTATCACTGAAATAAAAGTTTTCCCAGACAAAAGCTAGTGGGATTTATCTGTTCTACAAGAAAACATGAAGGGATTCTTCAATAAGAACAAAAAACAACCTTGAGCAAAGAGATGATAACAACATGGAATACGAAAATAAAAATTAGTAAGAAACTAGACAACACTAAAGGAGGGAAGAAAATATTAGAACAAGTCAATAGCAGCTTATAAAGGAATTTTTAACACATGAAAATTTTGATATCTCCCTCATGGTAATCAAAAAGAAAAATTCTAGAATAAAAACACAGAAAAATAAGGGGGATGGGGGGATGGAAAGAACAACCAGGGAAGGCCATGCAAATGAAAAGCCACAGAAAAAGAAATTAAAGAAGAAACAAGAGAAGGACAAAACATTTTGAAACAACCTATCAATTGTAAAGGAATAAGGCATTGTTAAGTTCAAAAATAAAATCATTCTTTGTTCCTAGGGTCTCCAGATGACAAAGAAATCTCAAATTAAGAAAAAGTCTCAAGTGGAAAACAAATACAAGATTAAACTGGAGTATGTGATTTTCCATACAAAGACTTTCTAAAGCCTTTAATGTCATGCATGAAAATCTCTATAATAGTGTTTCTGTGGATCTCACAAGCATTTTACTATAGCATTTACAGGGGCCCAATGTCGATAAGCATTTATCATAAATAAATTTCTCTTTAGAGCCTCCCCAGTGGCGCAGTGGGTTGAGTGCAGCACTGTGAAGCTGTCCGCAGCCTCTGCAGTGCCGGTTTGATTTCTAGCTGGCCAGAGTGATTCCCACATGGCGCAGCAGACCTATCCTGCCTCGTCTGCTGCTCCCCTCAGCAGTGTATTTCAATCAATCTGCCTGTTCTGCTTTCCACGCTGTCTCTGGTGAATCCTCTCACCCTCCCTGCCTCTGGCCTGTACCCCAGCTATTGCATAAATAAATAAAAACAAATAAATAGATTTCTCTTTATGCCCTTTATATAATGGTTTACTGACCCCAATAAAATTGTTTAAAAAACTCACATAAAAAATATGAGAATTTATATAATGGAAATGTTCCCGACTTGACTCAAAAGCAACAGAGAAGCTCTGTACTCCAATTATTTTATGAACAACAGAAAACGTACTGGAGATGAAGACTACTTAATTGCAAATAAAGTGTTATTACAGAAAAGGAAGAATGATCCAGGATGTGACTAAAATCTGGGAGAGTTGAGTTTAATTGGACGAGGCCAAAATGTGTAGAGAATTATTCCCAGAGAGTAGTAGTGGACCCTAATAAAGAGAATGATAACATGCATTTATTTGTATTACATATGCTAAAATGTAGTTTTATTTTATGTGTTCTGATCCTTTCGTATCGGAGGTTTGCTGACCACCCCTCTCACAATTAGCTAATACCTAGAGTTAGCCCATACCTACCTATGAATGCACCACTCACATGCACTAACCACCCTATACGCCTACTCTCTTTATTTTTTTTTTTTTTTTTTTTTTTTTTTTTTTTTAGGGAACAATTAATTTTTATTGAGTACCATTACCTGTTGTTTGAATGCATCTTTTTTTTTTTTTTTTTTTTTTTTTTACAAAAGACACACCTTAGATTTATTTTTTAATTTTTTTCACATCATTGTTCATTTTTAAATAATATCTGCTTCCCCCTACCCCCTCAGGTGTAGTCCCCATAGAGTTTCCTTCACCAGTGCACCTGTGCACCCTCACCTCAGTCCCCTGTGATCCTCCCTCCCTCCCCCTGGTCCCTCCCCCTCCTCCTCCCCTGCCGGATGTCTCTGATTTATAATTGTCTGTTTTTGCTTTGTTGTGTTTTGTACTGTTATTTTTTTTACACTGATGTCTTATTGGGTTCCCCTATGTTCCTCCTATAAGTGAAACTATCCGATATTTTTCTTTTTCCTTCTGGCTTATTTCACTGAACATAATTCCTTCTGCTGCATTGCTCAAATGGCATTAGTTTATCTTTTTTGATTGCTGAATAATATTCCATTGTGTACATATACCACATCTTCTTGATCCAGTCATCTACTTTTGGGCATTTGGGTTGTTTCCAGGTTTTTCCTATTGTAAATAGTGCTGCAATAAACATAGGGGTACAAGTGTTCTTTTGAATCAATGTTTCTGTGTCCCTTGCATAGATCCCTAGTAGTGGAATTGCCGGGTCGTATGGTAGCTCCATTTTTAGTAGACTGAGGAACCTCAAGACAGCTTTCCATAGTGGTTGGACCAGTCTGCACCCCCACCAGCAAATGCAGGAGAGTTCCTTTTTCACCACATCCTCACCGACATTTGTTATTGCTTGTTTTATTGATATGTGCCATTCTTACTGGTGTAAGGTGGCATCTCAATGTGGTTTTAATATGCATTTGCCTGGTTATAGGGATGTTGAACATTTTTTCATATGCCTGTTGGCCATTTGCATTTCTTCTTTGGAGAAATGTCTTTTTTTTTTTTTTTTTTTTTTTTTTTTTAAATATTAAATTTTATTTTTATATTCCCCCATACAATTGCAAACGCCCCATTCTGACCCCAATCCTTCCCCTAACGCCCCCCACCCCCCAAAAAGTGTCTCTGGTTCATAGTTTTTTTGTTGATTTTGATTTTCACTTTCTTATATTCATTTTCCTGGTCCCTTATTTAAGTTTTCTAGATTCCTGCTATGAGTGAGACCATCCGGTATTTTTCTTTTTCTTTTTGGCTTATTTCGCTGAGCATGATCCCTTCCAGCGCCATCCATGTTGCTGCAAATTGCATGTGTTTATCTTTTTTGAATGCTGAGTAATATTCCATGGTATATATGTACCACATCTTCTTGATCCAGTCATCTATTTTTGGGCATTTGGGTTGTTTCCAAAGCTTAGCTATTGTAAACAGTGCTGCTATAAACATAGGAGTGCAGGTGCTCTTTGGAATTGATGTTTCTGTGTCCTTTGGGTAAATACCTAGGAGTGGAATTGCTGGATCATATGGAAGCTCTATGTTTAGTAGGTCCAGAAATCTCCACACAGCTCTCCATAGTGGTTGGACCAGTTTGCACTCCCACCAACAGTGCACAAGAGTTCCTTTTTCTCCACATCCTCGCCAACATTTGTTGTTGCTAGTTTTTTTAATATGTGCCATTCTCACTGGTGTGAGATGGTATCTCATGGTAGTTTTGATTTGCATTTCCCTGATTACAAGTGATGTTGAACATTTTTTCATATGTCTGTTGGCCATTTGCATTTCCTCTTCAGAGAAGTTTCTTTTTAGCTCTTCTGCCCATTTTTTGACTGGATTATTTTCTTTGTTGTTGCTGAGTCTCATCAGCTCTTTGCAGATTTTTGTGATCAGTCCTTTATCATTAGTGTTGGGTGCAAAAATGTTCTCCCAGTTGGTGGGGTTTCTCTTTGTTTTTGTTATTGTCTCTTTTGCTGTGCAGAAGCTCTTTAATTTGATGTAGTCCCAGCTGTTTATCTTTCTCTTCACTATCACTGCTTTGGGTGATGTGTCTGTAAAGATGTCTTTGATGTGCAAATCCCGTAGTGTTTCGCCTATATTTCCTTCTATGTATTTTATGGTTTCAGGTCTTATGTCTAGTTCTTTAATCCATTTTGAGTTGATTTTTGTGTATGGTGTGAGGTAGTGGTCAAGCTTCATTCTTTTGCATGTAGCGACCCAGTTTTCCCAGCACCATTTATTGAACAAACTTTCTTTGCTCCAATGCATAGTCTTTGCTCCTTTGTCAAAGATTAGTTGACCATAAATCTGTGGGTTTATTTCTGGATTTTCTATTCGATTCCATTGGTCTGTATGTCTGTTCTTGTTCCAATACCATGCAGTTTTGATGATTATGGCTTTGTAGTATAGTTTGAAGTCTGGGAGTGTGATGCCTCCATTTCCTTCTTTTTTTTCAGGAGAGCTTTGGCTATTCGGGGTTTTGGTGATTCCATATGAATTTCATCAATAATTGTTCTATTTCTTTGAAGAATGCCATTGAGATTTTGATTGGAATAGCATTGAATCTGTATATTGCTTTTGGTAGGATGGCCATTTTAATAATGTTTATTCTTCCAATCCATGAGCAGGGGATGTCTTTCCATTTCTTTGTGTCTTCTTCTATTTCTTTTAACAGTGTTTTATAGTTTTCTTTGTATAGGTCCTTTACCTCTTTTGTTAGATTTATTCCCAAATATTTGATTTTTTTTGTTTCAATAATAAAAGGGGTGGTTTTTTTGATTTCCTCTTCTTCAGATTTATTGTTTGTGTATAGGAAGGCTACTGACTTTTGCGTGTTGATTTTGTATCCTGCCACTTTACTGAATTGATTGATGAGTTGAATTAGTTTTTCTGTGGAGATTTTGGGGTTCTCTATGTATATTATCATATCATCCGCAAATAGTGATAGTTTGACTTCTTCTTTTCCTATTTGGATTCCTTGGATGTCTTTCTCTTGTCTTATTGCTCTGGCTAGGACTTCCAGTATTATATTGAAAAGCAGTGGTGAGAGTGGACATCCTTGTCTTGTTCCAGATCTTAATGGAATTGCTTTCAGCTTTTCACCATTGAGAATGATACTGGCTGTTGGCTTGTCATAGATGGCCTTTATGATGTTGAGGTATGTTCCTTGTATCCCAAGAATTTCAAGGGCTTTTATCATGAATGGGTGTTGCACTTTGTCGAAAGCTTTCTCAGCATCTATTGATATTATCATATGGTTTTTATATTTCTTTTTGTTGATGTGTTGGATAACGTTGATTGATTTTCGGATGTTAAACCATCCTTGTGCCCCTGGAATGAATCCAACTTGGTCGTGGTGAATTATCTTATGGATACATTGTTGGATTCTGATAGCTAAAATTTTATTGAGGATTTTTGCATCAGTGTTCATTAGGGAGATTGGCCTATAG